TCTTTTGACTGCTTGGAAAAATGAGACTTCCTTGAAGCAGTCTATATGGTAACTGTTTGCTACAAATAAAAGACAAATATGTGAAAAAAAAGGTCTTAAAGAGCCCTTAGATAATCAGCCATTAGCTTTTCATAGTTGTGAGTGAGGAGCCAGGGCTTCCTGCACTGCGGTCAAAAAAGGCTGTTGCTATTTGTGGTGTCTATTAGGATATTGGGAATCTTGCAGATGGCCAGGATGTTACTCTGCCTACTTTATAGCGTCTATAGTCTTAAGAACCTGATTCAGCTAAGCCCTTGCGATTCAATCCCAAGGGGATTCAGTTATGCTCTTAGTGTCTTAGTGTTAAATACGTGTTTAAGTAGAATGCTGAGTCAAACTCCTTGACTTTTATCCGCTCTACAAAAATAACTATATTTATACACAGTTGGTTATGTAATATGCCTTCTGGGCTGGATGCTGTGCTCCAGCAGCAGAACATATGATCTATACTAGGGTTTCAGTGTTGGAGCAAAGGGGTTGTTTGTCCTTTTGCTTAGACACCAAGAACCGGTTCTGTCTCCTGCATTAGGTAAAGGTAGGTAAAAGACCCCTGGATGGTTAAATCCAGTCAAAGGTGACTATGGGGTGCAGCACTCATTTCGCTTTCCAGGTCGAGGGAGCCGGCGTTTGTCTAGACAGCTTTCCGGGTCATGTGGCCAGCATGACTAAACCGCTTCTGGTGCAACGGAACACCATGACGGAAGCCAGAGCGCATGGAAACGCCGTTCACCTTCCCGCCACAGCAGTACCTATTTATCTACTTGCACTGGCGTGCTTTTGAACTGCTAGGTTGGCAGAAGCTGGTACAGAGCAACAGAAGCTCACCCCATCCCACATGGCAATGGTGCCATGGTGGCAGCAATTGACTCTGCTCAGTTAAAGCCCATGTAGAGTATTTCCCCATAGATTTGCTCCATGCTGCTTTTATTGGGCAAGAACAGAACACACAAGCCTCTCCCAGACTGGAGAGCTGCCCTATAGGATATAACACAATCAACATGGACTTTTAGAAGAGTGGGAAAGCCCTTCACTAAATACAACACAGCTGTACAAGAATATAGGCTTAAAGTTACACTATCAAATTCTAATGTAATTATATTCTTTATTACGAAATGGATTCATGCAGGTCATTCCATTATTGCACTGGAGGAGTAACTGCATTCAGAAAATCCTGCAAACTGCGTTTTTTATTATAGCAAATAAAGGCATCATATTAACTCACATGCTGACTTCTTCCAGTTCTCAAACTGGGCAAACAGAGATGTTTGAGGTACAGGCTCTTCGCAATCATGTATTATTTTTAAATATCTCTCCTGTAGCTATGGGGGCAAGGGAGGTAGCTATGCACAATGTATCATGTGTGGCAATTGCATTGGACTTCCTTCTAGATGTTGTAGCCTAGCTTTGGAAGCCCCTGATGTCCCAGAAAGAGAAATCGGAACAGCACATTTTCTTGCCCTGAAGCACAAAATACGTATTGGGCAAATCACATTCCCAATTTTTGGCACTCTCAAGACATGTAGGTGGCTGCCTCCCTCCCACTCTCATGCTACACTTACCTGGGAGTACACCCTACTGAGCACAGAGGGACTTACTTCCAAAGATACATGCAAAGGATCATACCGTCCGTTTCCTAACTTTCAAAAGCGGTTGAGGAGTAGCCTTTGCCTTACTGTTAATTTTGCCTCCCATACTGCTGCTTGTGCCTGCCAGTAAAAGGTACCATGACCGACACACACTCACCTTCGTAAATTTGTCTTGCTAGATATTACTGCTGCTGCTGCTATATCGGAGGTGTGCTTAACCTGTCCTGGAAAGCAAGCAGTTAGTGTTGCATCTCCAGCTCTCATGAATCAGTTACCAGCTGAAATCAGACAGGCACTGAGTGTGGTGTTGTGTAGACACCTGCTAAAGACATTTTTGTTTGGGAAGGCTTTCCCTGAGGTGCAACTCAGTCGTTTACGGAAGATCAATTTTATATTTGAGGAAATGTTTCATGTTTTTTTAAGCATTTGCATGGGTGGCTTTATTGGTCTAGAATTCGTAGAATGATTTTATTCTTACAAGTTCGTGTCCCTGTGTTTTAATTCTGTTTAACGGTGTGCTCCACTTTGATGGGTTTGTGCCATGAAATGGTCTCTACATTTTAATAATAATAATAATAATAATAATAATAATAATAATAATATCCCAGCTTTCTTACAGGGAGCTCAGTTGGCACCCTTGTTTCTCCTCTTCCCTATTTTATGCTCACAGCAATACTGTGAAATAGCATAGACTGAGAGATGGTAAGTGGCCCAAGGTCGCCCACTGAGGTTCATGGCTGTGTGGGGGATTTGAACCCTCTCACATCCTAGTCCAACGCTCTAAACACAACAACACAGCAACTCTACTTTTCCTCTACACTGGTGGTGGTGCTGAGATATATATGATTTCTGCTTAGCATCTTTGCTGCTGTAACTGCAAATTGTATGCAGATGGGTCAGGTTTATTAACTTTCTTTCTGGATGGAGAGACTCTTGGGATATCTTGTGGAGCTGGAGACAAAAAAAGAGTCTTTGATTAAAAGGTCTCTTTCTTACCAAAATCTGTTCACTTCACAGCAGGGATGTGGCACCTGCTCAGTTCTTCTGAGAGAAGCCTCTCCAGATCTGAGGAAGGAATTAAATGACTTTGTTTCCCTCTTAATGAAGCAGCTGCAGGAAGTTTTTGGGGGCCCACTTTTTCAAAAGAAAAATCGGTTAAAACTGACGTTTATTTCAGGTGCTGATGTTCTCCTTATTTTCCTATCTTCCTTTAATGATGACTAACTGCACAGTCCTGAGACCAAATAAATATGTATAGAACTGAGTAATTAATATAGTGCCCAAATTTATACCAGATGTGTTGAAAAATTAAAATGTAAATTTTAAAATGACATGATTAAATGAGAGCCTGCCCACTTATCTGCAGCCTTTTAAAAAGAATAATAAAGCAGTGCAAATTTTATTTCCTTCTGACCAGTGCCCTGACATTAAAGGAACTCTCTGTCAGGAGTAGAATTAGGTAGGGCTGCTTGCAAACTGGTAAATCAATTTCGCCGCCTCTTTGACTTGAAGAGGAGTAGAAATTGCTGTCCTTGGGATATGGGTTAGGAATTCAGTGTACTTTTCAACCAGCAGTACGGCTGCCTCTCAAACTGGCAACATTGGATGAGACCTGTTCCTGGTTGCATTGAGGTTGAAGTTATTTCCACTGCTCTTAAGAATAAGTGCCAATTATGGGAAGGAGAAACAAGAACAGAGTACAGATGTATGACTAGTCCCAGATAAACATTACATGTGAATCAGCAAAATAAGGTTTTGGACCACCAAAGATGCATACTTTAGCTCTTACCAGCCATTCTGCTAGACCACACTGTTTCTTAAACAATCATCTTACAACTTGGCTTAATCGCCTTGAGCTCATGATAGCGCAGTATTTAAAACAAGGGAGTTTATTTAATCCACCTTTAATTACAGAGGCCATGCCTGTTCATCTCCTTTAAAGCACCTTGGCTTGGCTTACATTTTTCAACCATTTAATTGTCAGTGTTTGCACAAGCCACATCATCCATCAATTTGCCCCGTGAAAAACAAAACAAAAACCTGCTTCTCTCAAAACTTTGCAAACACATCTTTCTTCCATTTCTGAGTGGCACTTAATTACAGAATATAAATGCCAAACTATGAAAGAGAGCAGAGCAGTTTGCTGCTCCTTAGGGAGAACGTAACTGTGCTTTTGAAGTGCTGTGGGCCCATTGTGAGAGAAGTCGCCAGGAAAAAAAACCTACCTTGACGTGTTGAATATTAATATATCTTTATTTCACTCGCTCAGAAATGCATTTCTCTTTGTTTTGAGACAGGTATGAAGAACTTGTGGGCCCTCCAGATGTTGTAGGACTATGGCTTCTGTCACCATCCCAGACCATTGGCCATGCTCGATGGGGTACATCAACATCTGGAGGATCTCAAATTCTTCACCTTTGCTTTAAGACTACTTCTTACTTACAATGCAGCTCAAACAAAAAAATAACCCTTTCATAGCCTGACTCAAGCTTTGTCTACTCCTGTGTTCCTTCAAAGGCAAAAACTTAACATGTGTCTGCAACTGCACTCTATTCTCACCCGTATGTTGGGCAGAGCAATAGAAAATATGTCAATCAACCCTCTTATGGTAGCTACCTCACTCTTGTGACTGCTACCTCAAGGCTTATTTGCATCAGAGCAGCAAAAGGCACTGATCCATCTTATCCATATATTCATGAGTGTGAGAACTTTCCTAAATATTTATTCCAGAGTAAAACACATAGATTAAGGTAGGGCTGAGCGAAGCCTAAAGATGCCAAGAAAACAATGTGTTGGAGGATGGAAGAGATTCGTCCCATGCTTTCACCACCCTGAATATGTGAACAAAAAAAAGATGGTTAAAATTAATTCAGGCTAAGCTAATCTACTGGAAGCAATTATGATAATATGGCATAAGGCTGCAATTCTAACCCCAACTGTTTATCTTGAGTGCTGAAATATAGACATACATTCACTTACCAGTTAGGAATAAGAGACCACCCGTTTACAGATTTCCTGTTAAGTTCTAAAATGTTATTTGTTTTGTTTGTTTGCAAAATTATGTCCCACCCTTCACTGTCAAACCAAACGGCATGAAACCAATCAATAAACATTGAAACATGCAATTCGCTACATAAATCATTCCATCTGTCAGCATACTACTAGATAGGCCAGGGCTCCTAAATCAGAAGGTCTGGAGAAAAGGGTGGACTTCCAGCTGGCCCCAAAAGATGGCCAATGGTGGTGCCAGCTGGACTTCAGGGGGAAAAGAGATTCTGCAACTGGTCCCAGAAGAAATTCCACAACTTTCATACAAAGTGGGGGCGCCATTTTCAGCCGGGTATCTGATGCGACTTTGTGTTTTGTTTGCTTTAGCTTATCGTGATGCCGGAGGGTGACATGGCAAAGCCACTCCTCGGCCGACAAAATGTGGAAAGTAATGCAAGCCTCATCGCAGCCACTGGTAACACGACAGTGGGGATCCTGGGCAGTGGTGACTTTGCACGCTCCTTGTCTATGCGCCTGGTGTGCTCAGGTTTCAAAGTGGTGATTGGAAGCCGGAACCCAAAGCGCAATGCCACCCTCTTTCCATCAGCAGCTGAAGTAACTTTCCAGGCAGATGCTATAAAGAAGACAGATATTATCTTTGTGGCGGTTTTCAGAGAACATTACACCACACTCTGCGACCTCAGCGATGAGCTGTCTGGCAAAATCCTGGTGGATGTCAGCAACAACGATGAAATCAACCATCACAAAGAATCAAATGCTGAGTATTTGGCGTCACTTTTCCCATCATGCACTGTTGTCAAAGGATTTAACGTCATCTCAGCGTGGACGTTACAGTCAGGCCCAAGGGACGGGAATAAGCAGGTACTGTTCTGATATATCGGTTGTGTATATACATCCAGACCTGTCACACCTGGAGAGAGAAAAAAATGGGGGGGGAGAAAACATAGCTAAAAATGCAGTTACAATACATTTTTTCTCATACCTGTGATCAGGGCTCTTTGCAGTTTGGAGATATCTCACACAGCCTGCTGCCTTGCATACACCTCAGCAAAACCCCAAAACTCTCAGCTTCCTTTAAAGTAAAACACTAAATTCTGGGCCTCAGAGTTGCGAGAGCCATGATTTTTATGCAAATGGATTGATTATCTGATTGAGTCAAACAGAATTAATTCAAACAATCAATTAAGCTGTCTTTATAATCTAGTGACAGCCCTTGCAAAACAAAAAAAAGCCACCCTCTCTGGTGTTCAGGTTCTCTAGGAGTCTAGGTCATAGCCTACAACTTACCTCAAAATTCAAGAAACTTGGGAAGAGGAAGTACATAGGAGTCAACAGAGACAAAGGTGTACACATGAAATGCTCAAATGTTTCCGTATTATTGCTTTGTATGGCACTCGCCATGCCATCACTCGTCGTCCTTCTCTTGAACCCCATACCTGTGCTCCTGGTCTCTGCTTGCCAGTTGCTGCCATCACATGTCCTCTGTTTCCTGCAGGTCTTCATATGCTCCAACAACCAAGAAGCCAAGCGTGCCATTGCTGAAATTGCTCACATGCTGGGGTTCACCCCGGTGGACATGGGCTCCTTGTGCTCAGCTCGTGAGATTGAGAATATTCCGCTGCGGCTTCTCCCTGCCTGGAAGATCCCCGTCTTCTTGGCCCTGGGTCTCTTTCTCTGCTTCTACACATACAACTTCATCCGGCAAGTTTTGCACCCTTACATCCGGGAGCAAAAGAACAAGTTTTACAAGATCCCTGTGGAGGTCGTCAACACCACGTTGCCTTGCGTCGCCTACGTCATGCTATCCCTCGTCTACCTGCCTGGAGTGCTGGCGGCCATTTTCCAGCTCTACCGCTGCACAAAGTATAGGCGGTTCCCTGACTGGCTTGACCAGTGGCTGCAGCACAGGAAGCAGATAGGTCTGCTAAGCTTTTTCTGTGCAGCGCTGCACGCTGTGTACAGCTTGTGCCTACCCATGCGGCGATCCCATCGTTACTCGTTGCTCAGAGATGCTGTCAGTCAGGTACTGTACTTCCGATTCTTTGGAATGCTGGTACGTGGTCTGTCCTGTCTGCAAATGATGTGGGTGTAAAAAAAATGCTGGTGATCTTAGCTCGTCCCTAAGATCAGCCTCCATACCTGAGGACTGGAAAGTGGTCAATTAAGCACCATTTAAATAAATAAAAAAGCTATTTGGGGCAGAGAAGATTTTGGGAAATTGCAAGGCAGGTAGCTTAATATCTGAACCAGGAAAAGGGGTGGAAAGCATTATTAAAGCTAAAATTACCAAGCACATAGTTTCTGCAAAGGTAAGTCTCAAGTCTCACTTGAGAGTGTCAAATAAGTATGGATAAGGGTGATCCAGTAGACACTGTGTACTTGAACTTGTACAATCAGCTTTTCATTCTGCCCCCTCACCAAAGTCACTATATGGTCCTTTTATGGATCAGTAGCTGGCTAAAGAACAGGAAGCAGAGAGTAGGAATAAATTGACAGTTAAGACAGTGGAGGGATTTAAGTAAGGTAAAGGTACCCCTGCCCGTACGGGCCAGTCTTGCCAGACTCTAGGGTTGTGCGCTCATCTCACTCTATAGGCCGGGAGCCAGCGCTGTCCGCAGACACTTCCGGGTCACGTGGCCAGCGTGACAAAGCTGCATCTGGCGAGCCAGCGCAGCACACGGAAACGCCGTTTACCTTCCCGCCAGTAAGCGGTCCCTATTTATCTACTTGCACCCGGGGGTGCTTTCGAACTGCTAGGTTGGCAGGCGCTGGGACCGAACGACGGGAGCGCACCCCACCGCGGGGATTCGAACCGGCAACCTTTCGATCGGCAAGTCCTAGGCACTGAGGCTTTAACCCACAGCGCCACCCGCGTCCCACCCGCGTCTGGTCCTAAAAAATATCTGTGCTTGGACCAGTGCTTTTAACTTGTTCACAAATGATCTAGAGTTGTTGTTCTTATTTCTACCCCATCCACTCTGGGTGGCTTTCAACAGAACATTAAAAACAGAACAAAACTTCAAACATTAAAAACTTCCCTAAACAGGTCTGCCTTCAGATGTCTTCTAAAAGTCGGATAGTTGTTTATTTCCTTGACATCTGATGGGAGGGCGTTCCACAGGGAAGGCCCTCTGCCTGGTTAGAGGGGATTAGTAAGGGGGCCAAGTTTGCTGATGACACCAAATTGTTAGGCTGGGTAAGAATGAAACAGGTTTGCAAGGAGCTGCAGAAAGATATTTCCAAACAGGGCAAATGAGCAGTAAAATTGGCAAATGCAATTCAACGTAAACAAGTGTAAAGTGATCAGGTTGGAGGGAAAAAACCATAACTTCACATGTACAGTGGTACCTCGGGTTACATACGCTTCAGGTTACATACGCTTCAGGTTACAGACTCCGCTAACCCAGAAATAGTACCTCGAGTTAAGAACTTTGCTTCAGGATGAGAACAGAAATCATGCAGCGGCAGCAGCGGGAGGCCCCATTAGCCAAAGTGGTGCTTCAGGTTAAGAACAGTTTCAGGTTAAAAACGGACCTCCGGAACGAATTAAGTACTTAACCCGAGGTACCACTGTACACTAATGGGGTTCTGAGCTAGATATGCCTGACCATCATGATCTTGGGATCACAATGGATAGCTTGATGAAAATGCCAACCCCACTGTGTGTACTAGTTGTGAAAAAGGCAAATTCCCTCATTAGGAAAATAAGCTGCCAATATCATAGTGCGTTATACAAATCTATGCTGTGGCTACACTTGTAATACTGTCTGTAGTTCTGGTCTCCACACCTCCGAAAGGATATTGTACAGCTGGGGGGGGGGGGAGGTGCAGAAAAGGGCAATCAAAATTATCAAGGGCCTGGAGCAACTCTGCTTTGGAGTAAAGGTTGGAATGTTTGCAGCTTTTTCATTTTAGGAGGGGAAAGGCAAGAAAGGGTGGATGTGGCAGAGGTGTATAAAACCATACCTGATGTGAGGAAAGTGGACACACACACACACTCTCTCTCTCTTAAACTATGGAATTCGTTATCGCAAGGTGTAGAAATGGCCACCAGTTTGGACGGCTTAAAAAGAGAATTAGACAGGATCGATCGACGATAAGGCTACCAGTGACAATGAATCATGCTGACTGCATACTACCCCCCATATCAGAGACTGCCTCTTAAGTTGCAGTCTGCTCAAGTTGCAAATTGGAGAGTGCTGTTGTCGCCATGTTCTGCTTACAGGGCTTCTCATGAGCAGCTGATGGACCACTCCGGAAAACAGGATGCTGAATGAGATGAGCCTTTTGCCTAATAGCAGAGATCTTCTTACGTTCCCCAAAGCATTGCATGGGAGTTTCAATGCAGCTAGTGGAAATATATTCCACATTAGCAGTCTTAGACTCACAGCCTAAGAAATACTGATGAACGCAAGATGCCGCAATGAGTTAGCACTTTTCAGTTTTTTTATTCCTGCTAATATTGTCTGAGCCTCCTTCCCGATCACCTTGCTGTATTCGGTGCAAGGGATGCAGTCCCCCAACAGCCTCTTAATTCCAGCTGCATTTATTTCTCTTCTGTGATTCTTGTAAATAAATCCCTTGCAAGCCGTTGATGCCCATTTCCCTCTTTTCTTGCATTGTTTCTTTCTCCTCCCCCCCCCAGCAACATCCTTGCTTCATGAATCACATTGATTTTAATGGAATAAATGGCTGGGTCTAAGTGTCAGTCTCTGTAATATAGTACAAATCCCATTTCTTTTTTTCCATTAGCCTGAACGCTTCTCTCCTAAATGCACTTAAACCAAATCCCATTAAGCCCTGAGCAGTCAAGTATTCAGAGAGCGACACTTGTGGACTTAGCTCGAAACTGGAGCTGATTTCACATATTAATTGCAGCCTTCGATGGCAAAGCATGGTCTGATCATGGAGGTGCCAAGTTATTGTCAAGCCCTGCAGAGGTCAGTGGGAAATTGAGGCTGATACAACAGAGGTGTTGCGTATTTGACGTTCTCTGGTCCAAGAGGTGGGAAGACAGTCTGCTGTGAACAGGGCTGCACTCTTCTGGAAGGAGCAGGTCTGTAGCTCCTGGAGTTACATTTGTCACTGGAGGACCTCAGTGGCTAGGAATGCCTGTTTCCAGTTACCTGGCTGCTGCATTTTGGACCAGCTGAAGTTTCCTAGTTGACCAGCTACAGCCCTTTGGAACAGAAGCGAAGCCACTGTAACTTCCAGCTTGAATTGTTGCAACATGCTGCAAGTGGGGCTGGCCTTGAAAACAACTAGGAAACTTCAGCTGGTCCAAAATGCAGTAGCCAGGTTACGGGATTGGCTTCCATTTAATGGTAAAGGTAAAGGTACCCCTGCCCGTACGGGCCAGTCTTGACAGACTCTAGGGTTGTGCACTCATCTCACTCTAGAGGCCGGGAGCCAGCGCTGTCCGCAGACACTTCCGGGTCACGTGGCCAGCGTGACGAAGCTGCTCTGGCGAACTGGCACCAGAGCAGCACACGGAACGCCGTTTACCTTCCCGCCAGTAAGTGGTCCCTATTTATCTACTTGCACTTAAGGGTGCTTTCGAACTGCTAGGTGGGCAGGAGCTGGGACCGAACGACGGGAGCTCACCATGCCGCGGGGATTCGAACCACCGACCATGCGATCGGCAAGTCCTAGGCGCTGAGGTTTTACCCACACCACCACCCGCGTCCTGGCTTCCATTTAGAACACACATAAACCCCTATATCCTTTTAAATGTGTTTCGGACAGGGGGGGTTGCTTTTATTAAGTATTTTGTGTTCTTTTTATTTGTATTTTAATGTTGTGAACTGCCCTGTGATCTTCGGATGAACTTAATTTAATTGTTTAATAAATAAAATAAAATAAATGTCCAGACCCAATTCAGTCCCCAAAATGTCTGAAAGTCTACCTCCTTTCTCAGAGACCCCCTCAAGTGTTAATTCTACCGTCCTCAGTAGTTTAGAGGGAGTTGGCAGCACAGGAGAGGGTATTCTCTGTGGCAGTTGCAAAATATAACTTGTAAATGATGATGATGGCGATGGATGAAATATAAGGTTGCTGTATGGACAACATTGCTGCAAACTCATTTTGTCCAGGAGAGGAGGCAGGTTGCACCGGCAGTAGATTGAGGCCAATGGCAGAATTAAATGCCTAGACTGGAATGGGAGTCAGCCATGTGCTGGTGCAGAAGAATTTAATCATTGCCACCTTTGACAGAAGGGCCACCAGGCTGCTGCTGTTAAAGCAAAGAAACCCCATGAAAATGCTTCATGGGTACGGAGCGAACTCTGTGTATCTTTTAAACCCTCTTTTGTTGCTCCTACACACCTTTGCTCTTGTTCCTTCAGGTAGAGAAGAAAACAGATCCATGGGTAGAGGAGGAAGTCTGGAGGATGGAGATGTACATCTCGTTTGGCATCATGGCCTTGGGCTTGCTGTCCTTGCTTGCCATAACCTCACTTCCTTCCATCTCCAACTCTCTCAACTGGAGAGAATTCAGTTTCATTCAGGTAAGTGCTGCAATTCAAGGGTTTTTAGAGACGGAGGGAGGAAGACAGTTCTCAGGGCCAAACCAGACACAAGAAGGCTGTTGTTCACATAAAAAGCAAGGGATGTTTTTCTAATCTCATTCCAGTGCAGGGTAGCTGGGAAAAACCTTCCTTTTTTTCATTTTCACCGTAAAACAAGAAAAAGTCATGAAAGTAGTTCAGGAGATTGAAAAGAAGGGTCAAGAGCTGTTTTAGCCATGCCCAACTATAAAGCATTTGAACAGCCCCTTGGTTTCCCAAGCCATTTGCTGCTACTGTTTGAGAAGTACAAGCCCTAAGTTCCTTTGGTGCACAGGATGAGTGTTGGGGTTCTTTGGACCCCAGACAGTTCTGCAGCATAGATTTGACACTTAAGAACTGATTTGTGGCTGCCGGCCCATATTAAATATAGAAAATATCAGCACCAAATATGTTCAATACTAGTTCAAATCCATTTTTGTTATTTTCCTTTACATTTTGTCATTTGCTATTTGTTTCTCTACATTGCATTACCATAACGGAGGACTTTGTTGTTCCTCTGCCCCCCAGTGGTGAAAGTTTGTGTTTGTGTGTATAAAAACTAGTTTAGAAGATCTCTACTAGGACGTGCATGTTGTAAAACGACATCAAGAATTTATTTTCCATGCATGTGTATTAGGATACAGTCCACTGCACACTTCCTTAATAATAAGCCCTACTGAATCCAATGGCCATTTACTTCTGACCAAATATCCATAGGATTGCGCTGCTCTTTCTTTTTTAAGGAAGCCATTGGACTAAGACAATGGTCTGGATACTGAATTGCCCTTCCATAAACAAAAGGGACTCCCAAATCAACAATTCTTCCTGTTAGAAGAAAGCAATTAGGGTTTGGAGGGAAGGGAGAGGCCATTTACATCAATTCTCCTGCAGCCCCCAGCACATACCCCAAGCTGTTCTGGAGCGTCCCCTCTATATTCTGGGGCGGATTTGCAGAGGACATACAGTGGGAACCTGCAAAAATATCACCACCGCCAGCAGCAGGATCTCATGAGCAGAGTTCCACTCTCAGGAAGTTAGGATCCATGCCAATGACTCATCAGAAGCAAATCACTGGAAAGTATCCTGCTCCAGTCACCGTCTCTATTTTAGGCTGAATTTTAGCTGCCTGAGTTTTGCTCATTTATAAGAAAAGAAAGGCTCGTATTACAATTGTTCCATACCTATAGGTAGAGTGGTTTGTGTTAAAACTGCTTCACTGTGGTGGTGGTTGCATAAAGGGAGCTGTAAACTTTTACAAATCATTACTTAAAATTGACCCGATTACTTGGCAATGGACCTGATTACTTTGTGCCAGCCTTTGACCAGGAATGTAAATGTGAGGACAGCTCATCTGATCAGGCCAATCCGCTGTAAGAGTCTGGGAATTTGAAAAGAGTAGCTTCATTCTGCCCAAGTAAAATGCCCTAGAACAGGGGTCAGCAAACTTTTTCAGCAGGGGTCCGGTTCACTGTCCCTCAGACCTTGTGGAGGGCTGGACTATATTTGGGGGGGGGGATGAATGAATTCCTATGCCCCACAAATAAGCCAGAGATGCATTTTAAATAAAAGGGCACATTCTACTCATTTAAAAACACGCTGATTCCCGGACTGTCCACGGGCCGGATTTAGAAGGCGATTGGGCCGTATCTGGCCCCTGGGCCTTAGTTTACCTACCCATGCCCTAGAAGCTCATATATTCCCATCAACACAATCTGGCCTAATAACAACAACAACAACAACAAAAATGTCAGCATTACCCATTTTAGCTCCTATCCCACTCAAATTAGTTATAACTACATCCCATTGAAATCAACAGCTTAGCAGTTTGGTTAGGAGGAGGTAAATCAGGGCCGTTCGGGTGTGGTGGCTTTGTCCAGTTGGCTGCTCAGGATGCCAGGAGCCCCAGGGAACCCACATGCACTTTGTTGGAGGTCCCAATAGATACGCCTGTTTCAAACACTAGGGCATCCACCCACCCACCCTCTCCACCATGATATCATTCCTATCCATTTTCTTTTTCCAATCTCTTGTTCTTTTTGGATTTGCCCGCCCCTCTCAACCTCCAAGTCTGTGTCCCTTATTGTGACAAAGCTAAAGTATACCTAATTGACATAAGCACATATTGCCTATATGCCTCCATCTCCCCCTCCATCTGCTTTCCCTTATTTTAGCATTCAGGGGCCTGTCATGCTTGTTCTATTGATGCACCATTCACATGGCTACTAATAATAATTTTCATTGGTTTCGGACCTAATTAAAACTTACTTGACCTGGATGGAGGGGCGCCTTTGGGGATAAGGCCCATTTCAAAGCTGCTACTCAGGTGCATCCCAACCCTGTGCTTACTCAGAAGTAAATCCCACTGAGGAAAGTGGAACTTGCAGCCAAGGAATTGTGTACTGTATTGGATTGTAGCGTTGGGTAGGATACGGCTACATACAAAGGATAAGCAACGCTTGGAGAAACAAGAGTACCAAACTCCAGCCACGTCACTGAAAACAATGTTGTTGTTCTTCTTCTGCTCCCCTTTTCAGTCCTCCCTTGGCTTTGTCGCTCTGGTGATCAGCACTCTGCACACCCTGACTTACGGCTGGACCAGGGCCTTTGATGAAAGCCAGTACAAGTTCTACCTGCCTCCCACCTTTACTCTCACGCTGCTGGTACCATGTTCTGTGATCCTGGCCAAACTCTTCTTCCAGCTCCCTTGTATGAACCAAAGACTGCGGCGCATCAGGAACGGGTGGGAGAGGGGCAGGTATGTCAAGTTCACCTTGCCCAGAGCATCGGGGGAATTTTCAAGTGGAGAAACCAGCAGCACTGTGTGATCCAGCATCTCTCTCTCTCTTCCATCATGACAAGTTCTCAAAGAGCACTATGAAGATTCTGGGGGTTTCTTAATATAGTTTTTGTTTGTTTTTTGAAGCTTGTAAGCTTGGTATTATTGAATGGTGGTGATAATTATCATCTTATTTCAGGCACTTAAGGAAGGAATGTTACCAGTGTTTTAGAATATACTGGTAATTCTGGGGGTGGGGAGAGTGGTTGCCTTAAAACTTAAATCTTTTGGGGGGTGTTTAATGCGGCGGGGGAGAGACGTTACCAATGTATCTGGCTTACACCGCAGTATTTGGAATATATTGGTAATTATGTAAGGCAGGGGTGGCCAACATGGTGCCCCTCCCAGAAGTTTTAGACTACAACTTCCATCAGTCCTGACTATTGCCTAGCCTGTCACTGATAGGACTTGCAGTCCGCAACACACAGAGGGGCCCATGTTGGCTAACCCTGGTGTAGGGGGTGCAGAATGGTTGCCTTAAAACCTCAGTGCACAATTTTAGTTGCACAGTTTAATGATGCATAGGAAAATAGAATCACTCTGCAGATGCATTCAACAAAGGGGTGGGACACAGCGTTTTCTGAGCACCTGGCAAATGGTTTCTATCTTTTTTAAGCCAGCATTCCTGCATGATCACACAGAGCACATGATCAGTCCACCCGTAAACCAAAGTGGCAACTCTGGAAGGGCCTATTGTCCGATAACAAATGGTGTAAAAAAAAAAATACTCTAGGTCAGATTGGAAGTACGTTTATTACACAGCTGCCATTAAAACAGCAACCACATGTTTATAAATCCCTCCTCCCCTTCTGTAGATCTCGATAGAAACTACCTGTGCCCCAATGCCACAGCCTGTGCATTTGCCCACCCGACATAATGGTCTGAAGCTGACGGGACAAAACCAAAAAGTGTCATTGGTTGTTGCAGAGGAAGAACTAAGCGTGAAACTGCCACACATTTAAATGCAGTTCCAGCCTCACTTTTCCTTTGCATGGGCCAAATTCACACATTACTACTTATGTATTTGTTACATTTATATAACACCTTTCTGCCAAGGAGCCCGAGTCAATTTATGTTTTTTTAAATATTGAACAAATAAATGATGCAAAATGTAAAGTTGGCCCTGACTGAGCTGGTGGGGGGGGGGGAGGGAACAGTCCAACTGGAGCAAACCAAACCGTGATGTTGTCTTTGCCTGCTTGCCTCTCTCTCTTCTCCTTCCCACACAACTGGTGTCCATTGACTGGAGCAGGCCACTGTGTCATTCATGCGGCCGTTGCTCAAGTCTCTTTGGCAGCTTTGAATAAGTGAAACGGCAGGTGTGCCAGTGATCGTTTTAGCATGTCAACAAACTAGGTGAAGTGAGGAACCAGGCTGCAAACTGAGCACATGCTGGCCCTTGACAGGAATTCCCTCAAGATGTCTTGCAAACAAAAGGTGCAAAAGTTGGAAAGCAACCTTCATTCCCAAGAGGGAGTAACAAGAAGCTGGTTTCTCTAGAAACATGGAACAGTTGATTCTAAGCAGAGCCTTTTGCCCTATGAAACGTCCTCCTGTGTCCTCATCTGCAGCATGTCGGTCTTCCCCATCCTCCAGCCACTTCAGGTGACACACAGGGAAAGATCTCCTGGAATGGCTCGCAAAGTTTGTATTGGGTGGCGAGGAATCTCTTCAGTCCAAGGGTTACACTCCCTTATGAGGAAACCTTGGGGGGCTGTGTGCCAGTGGTGGGTGTGGCCAGAGGCAAAAGTGGGTGGAGCAATGGATGCAACTCTTTGTGCCTTGGTATTGTAGACCATGTTCCAGCCAGGCAGAAGCACTTAAGGAGGGCTCTGAGCAGGGCTGGTCAAGATGGTCTGAAGGCCCCTGCAATCGTGGTTCCCCACCCATTTAATATGGAGGAAGGAATACGTACAACAGTTAATAGAAAGAGAAGAAATGAGCCTTCCCACCGCCTCATCTCGTGTGCCCATTTTATATCATAGAATTGCAGAGTTGTTTTAAAATAGCGCAGGGGAAATTGGGGGTGGTGAGGCAAGGAGGGAGAAAAACAAGGGAGCAGCAGTAATTTGGTTGCTGGCCAACCGCTTGAGAAAACAATGAAAACTTGCAAATGAAGCTACAGACCAGGAGCTTCTACAACCAGCTGACATGGCTGAAGAGCATCCATTTTTATGGCGTCTTGTAGGGAAGAAAGAGGCTCATTGGCCCACTTGGAGGTGACCAGAGGGCAAGCATTTAATGTGACATTTTAAATTCACATCCTTCAAGACTGCCAGTCAAATGCCTCCAAACACCCCGACCTCAACTCCCTGCATCTTAAATCTTCATTTAATGAGCTGCTGTATTCCCACCCAATCTTTTTCACAGCTTTGATGCCAAAGCATTATCTAATGAAGCAACTTCCACAGTTGATGTACAATGGAAAGGCATTTCTGCACGCCAAATATAAGTCCTGAGGTTCTGGACGGTAAAAACGCATACAAAGTTCTAATGAGGAATGAATTCATCGGCTCAGAAACACTTGTTCCAGGACCTGGAAAAGCCAATGAAGGAAGCTGGAACATCTGTAATTAAAAAAAGCCATGGGACAACTTTAACAAAAAGAAACAGCTGAGCAGAAAGTGGGATGAAGCTGCTTTCAGTATTGTCCGGAAAAACCACGTCTCCTAAGTTAACACTAGTGCAAGTCACTATAAACAAATAACGACTCAAGACTACTGATTCACAGCACGGGCAGCTGATTACTCCATTAAAGCAACAGAAATCTTTGTCTAGAAATGGGCTGCTGCACCCATGCACACCCCACTTGCATTGCAAAGCAACCCCGTTGAACTGATCCAATAGCAGTTTCAATGCCACCAGGGATGCATGTTACCATCAGCTGCTACACATACAGTATGTAGAGTGGGACTCGGGCTGCTAGCTCTTACGTGTTGTCTCATATCTTGAGGACAAATGCTGTAACTCTGGCCAGATCAGATCCTGACTGCTGAATGGATTAAATGGTGCAAAAATGTTTTGAGACTACAGACGTGCTAGTTGAATCTGAAAATACAGCATGGACATTTAGAAGTATTAGATACGGAACCTGTCTTGATACATACCACAGGACCATTTAAACCACAATCTGCAGCTTCCTTTTAGGCTACTCTGCCTATACAATTTAGAAGGGGCATATCAAGGCAAGTATCAGGCTGTGGCCTTTAACCAGAAGTAGCATCAGTACATTCTCTACATGTACCGGAAAATGTTCTTGGGGACTGTACTAATAATAATTCCTCCCACCCTTTCCTCTTACACTTTGCTTGAGTTCAGAAAGGCAGTTTTGAAAGTTTGGGTAAAAAAAAAATTTACAGGGAAACCTGGAGAGTAATGACTGTCGTGCACGATTTACAATTTCCCGTAATTTAACTGCTGTCATACAAAATCTTGGGAGGAGTTTAAAAAGCAGTTTGGGAGTTCTGCAGGGGCAATCTTTGAAAAGCTAACTAAAGAACATTCAGGTGCATGCAAAGAGCACTCCTTTGGGTCACAATGTTGTGTAACACATGAATCGTCTGAAAGGCTTTCAAAATGCTGCAGAGGGAGGAAGAATCAGGCAGAAGGCAAGCAAGGATTCTGTCGAAGGTAACAAACTCAGGCAGCAAAGTTTTTTCAGTAATGGGCTGGCCTTAAGCCATTATTACCATGGAGGATGGAAAGACGGAAATGCAATTGTTCCTTTCAAGAGTTTCACATGGATCTGAGCTGTCTTCACCTGGTACAGAAAAGTGAACACTGGCACCAGATGTAACACAATCGTATAGGACACCCATGTTTCTTTGTTGAAAGCCACTGTGAGCATGATTTTTGTGTGTGTGGAAAAGCGGCATACGAAGAAAATTGGATGAATGAATGGCATTCAAGTCAGGGCGCTATGAAAGCAAATGTATCTGAATGTCTCTTCCAGAGACTTGTGCTTGCTTCAGTGGAGGCTGGTCTATGGGGGCAAATGGAGCACTGGACAACCAAGCTCAGGCTGCCAGCTGCCAGCTCTCTGCCTTCTGACTTACGTCCAGTCCAGGAAGTGGCCCAGCCAGTCAGCTTCCTCCTCTTCAGTCTCAGAGGTCCCCTTGCAGAACTCAGCAGCGAGGAGGATGGGGACAAAACTAGAAGTAGTTGGCTCACCTAGTCATCGCCTCTGGTTCTGCCTTCTCTGACTCCCCCCCCCCACCAGTCCCAATGGGACACCAGATACCACTGACTCCATTCACACGCTATCCTTTCAAAATCAAGCCTGCAGCTGCAAGATCAAGAAACACCTCTCCTTGAAAAGTAGCCAGCTGACCCTATTTATAAGCAAAAACCCAGTGAGGACAAGAATCGAGAGATCCAATGTGACCGAAGAGCTGAGGCGGAGAGAGAGGTGGAGTATTACTCCTCACAATTTTATGCAGGTCTAGAGGAGAAACTTCCCAGTGATAAGACACCTAAGCGTTACCTGCTTTTCTTTAGCAAGCAACTGGGTAGCTACCGCACTACCATGGGAGAAGCAAAAGAGCTGGGAGAGAAAAGCACCACCAACCATAGGCAAGTGATCCCTTATGTTCTCTAGCATGCCCCTCCCTTGCTAAACTGTGCCAAGGCTGCTACTCGGGAGTAGCAAAGCGTAGCTCCTCCCCAGATATTCTGAAAAAGGTCAACGTATTTCCACAGGGTTGCTTTCCACATTTTTGCCTGCTTTCAATATGCGAAATTCAGCAGGGGGGGGCTAAGCTTGTACTGTGCTGCCGGGGGGGGCAAGCAGAAGGAGGGGTGCAGTTTTTTGGGGACCTGGAAGATAACGACAGCCATGGTGAGAGAACTGTAAGGCTCCGTGACTGTGCCCTTGCAAGTGGAAATCCTGTGGGGATCCAGCTGCTTTGCTTTTAACAGATACCACCAATATTTTCCGACTTCCCTCCACAACCACAAGATCCAGAAATACACAAACACACAAACACACACACCCTCCAGCCCCAGACAGATCCTTGTGCAGTGAACAGAAGGAAGAGCCACAGCTCTGGCAGCTGCAACTTGACAGGCCACCTGTTCATATTGTAAGATGCCCATATAGTTGTTACGTTCTCAGCTGCTTTACATACAAACATGGAGGAGGCCAGGTTTCAGCACCTTCCTTTGTCTACAGTGGACAACCCATAAAACATACGAGAACAAACGAGAAGTTAAACAAAATAAAGCCTCTTTATAAATAAAAAAAGTTGCAAAACAAAAATCTTTTGTAAATAGTTTCTGCATTTTTAACCCATCAGTACTGGGACGGAAGGGTTACGTGACGCTTGTTTGAAGATACATCCCTATGTTATTTTTCTATTTATATTCTGTATGGATATACTGCTGCAAAATGAGAGACATGAAAATGTATACTGCTTACCATTGATGTTTTCTGCACTGCCCCAATTGTGCCTTGGGAGTTTTAACCAGTTACTATCCTGCCTCATACTGGAACTTTAATGCGTCCTGTTGCTATCTTGTACAAAGTGTAACCAGGATATATATCTATGAAATGGAAGCACTGATACTAGCAAAGCCCTGCTATTTTTTTTTTTTCTTATTCGCAGTAAAAAAAAAGTTATTTCTAAAGTTCCTTTGCATTTTATCCTAGTTCGGCTGTTTGAGGCACATTTTCTCCCCTTGCTTTGTAAGGAAGCGAAACACCCAGTTCGTGGGAGGGAGGGAGGGAATCCTAAGGCCAATAGAGATTCCCCTGCACTAATATTTATTGTTTTTATTTAATATTTATTTGATATTATTTTTATTTAATAGGCTAGTCACCTGGCCTCTGAGCTTCTTCTAAGGAAGAGGTGAGCCATTCTTGGATTAAGATAGGGAGGAAACACTGTCACTGATCCATACAATGACCTAGGATATCTCGAGGCAACAAAAGTCACTTCATTCTCTATTTTAAAAAGCTATAGCAGGAAAAAGTGAACAAGCAAAAGAGGAAAGGCAATGGTTGCCTTCCCTCTTCATCACTTTTCTTTTTAGCCACTACCTCAAAAGAATGCAACATGTCGAAGACACCATCTCCTACTTAGGAGATGCAGAATTTTGATGAGCTTATTTGGCACATGGCTTCAAGTGAGTTCATTTAAATTCTTGCACTGAAGCTTAACCTCTGCAGGTAAAGCTTTCAAACACTCCCTAGGTATTTGCACCGGATTTTTTTTTATTTTTTCAATTCCACTAGTTTCCATTATGCAAAGCTTTCCCTTCCAAAGTCTTAGGATCTAGCGAGTGCTTAATTTGAAGCAGGATTTATGGGGGGGGGGATGTTTTATATTCACCCCTAAGATCAACACACCCAACAACTGTCATTTAATACAACGAAATAGACACGAAATACCCCAGCTATATTTGCATCCATTGTAGGCAAGTTATTGGTTATGTTTTGTAAATTTATAAATACATGTTACTTAGTGCTATTCTTATGGAAAAAGAGGTGCCAGAATTCACCATGAATTCTTATGGAAAAAGAGGTGCCAGAATTCACCTCCCTTGTTCTCTTATAATGGCAATGGCACCCACCTGAGAGGTGCCAGAACTGAGTTCAGGTAAGTTCCAGCGGGGGGGGGGGAGCCCTGATGTTAGCACTCAGTACTGACCATATTTATTCCTACAGAAGCCCCATCAATTTCAGCCACACCTGTTTCTGCATATGTATTCTTAGGGAAGCTGTACACCCTGATCCTATGGATGCACACTCAGAAGTAGCATGGCAGTTGCTCCCAAGTAAACATGCAAATGACTTTTTCTGTGATCAATATCTTTAACGACCGAATTGCAATGAATGCACACTATTTCAGCAAACTAGATCTGTTTTACACAAACAGAACTAAATTAACAGCATGAAGAAGATTCCATATCCATGATCTGCAGGGAATAGATTCAGGTTTGCATATAATAAAGAAGATTAACATACAAGAGAAGCAAGCTAGGAGTTTCCCCTGGCTTTTTGCTTAACATCAGTCCAGCAAATATTTGTCTGTGCAGCCTTTGGCATTTCGTCGGGCATAGAGAACACAGGTCCCTTGGGTTAAACCAGTTCACTAATGGTTATTCATAAAGGCATCGCTATTTTTCCTTGCACCTGCAAAGCAAAAGCACAGGCTGTGCTGACACCTTGTGGCTTTTGCCGCAGACAAATCCGCTTCTCCCTTCTCCCTGCAGAGCAAAATTGCATTGGTCTTTCTTCAAAAGCAACTAGTGTGTCTGTCTGTCACAGTCGTGCTTGCTGAAATTCCAGAAACGGCTATCGGCAAACCATGTGCTTGTCACTCGGAGAACAGATGCAAGGTGACACTTACGACACGAGTAAACCAAACTGAATGGGACACTTGCACCAACTCAAGTAGAGGACAAGCGTCCTGATGTGCTAGGCGGCTAAATGGGGGGGGGAGGAGTCTCTGCCCCTTACCTTCGCAGAAAAATAGCATGCTAGCACAGCTCAGACAACACAAGGAGCTGAAAATCCCTCGCCTAACAACACTCCCAATGCTCTCCTTGCTCTGTGACCCTGTCACTGGGTGCATATCCATCAGTTCAAAGCAGCTGGAGACAGGGAGATTAAAAACTGCAGGGTTTTGGGTGAGAAGAGGATGTATACAGAAACTTTGTCTCTTGCCTCCTGCACCCCATAGTTCATCCACAGCTCCCCCAACATGTCTCTTACATTCCTTGGGCACCAAAGAAATCTCTCACTTTGCTTCCCAATCACTGTTTTATCTCTTCTATGTAATAAAAATCAAAACCCTTTCCAAGCCCTCCCACTTCTATGTTCTCCTCAAATCCATCATCACAGAAGTGCAAGGCAGTTTCACCCAGGTTCAGAAGGATATACGTTCTTTCTGCATTTGTGCCTGTTCGTCCAAAGAGTTTTTGCCCCCCTGTAGGCATGGTTTTCTCACCAGCTACAAATTTTTTATCCTCCTGACCATTTCTCCTACAGTCAATTCAATTCAGCACTCTAGAAACCATAAATTTGCTTTTTAACCTTGAAGCCAAGAGCGGCTACACATTTGTGTTCTCCCTACAATAAAAGATGTTTCCCTTATGACCATGGCAGAGTCATCCACTTCTCTACATGGCAGTATATCTAAATGCTTGCAGTGACATGAAAACAGGTTCAATTCACATGTTACTTTGGTAGCAGAGATTATTTTATCTGCAATCGCTTGCACTTCCAAATCACCACCAACACCCCACATTCTTGAAGCATCGTGATTGATCTAACCCTGTAAGGTATCTGCCACAAGCTGAACTGCACAGCACATACAAAGAGATGCATTTGTTTCCATTTCAGGTATTAACTTAATCAAATATTCAGAAGTTAGTTATTCATGCATCTGGATAAAATCTGAATGAGTTATAAAATACATTTATTTCAACTGGGACTAAATTCTAAGGAAGCCTAGGTATTTTCACACTCACCATTTTGCAGAAAAGAAAATTGGAAGGCACAATTTATGCATTCCCAAAGGCCAAAAATTACTTGGGGTTTCTGATGTTCCAGCCATCATCTTGTATTGCAGTTCAAAACATTATACCTCAGAGCTCCGCCAGTACTTTCTTTGCTGCCTGCCAACCAAAGCTTATCACTACACAATTTCGAACTATGTATTTCTGACTCCTTCTGTAAGCAGAAATGAGGCACTCAGCTTGTAGAGGAAACAGGATGGGGTAGAAATCTAAAACTAAAATGTTTCAATGTTAGTGCCTCTCCATACCTTTGGGGGTGAGGAGTCATTTTAAAGAGCTACTGAAAACACACAATAATCAGTACTTCAGAAAGTCGTAATACAGAAGCATTATTACTGCACATCTACACCCAATCAGAAAGCCAAGGAAGGAGAGCAGGTGTAAAATTCCCATCACAGAAGGGGCTGCTAGAAATTATTGACTCTGCAAATGGTTCTATGCCCTCCAGGGTAAATGACTGGCTAGTAGGGGGCAGGTTCAACTACAAGGAAGCTTCTTCTTCTGCCCCAGATCTACTCTAGTGGGTCAGGAGAACCCATAGAACAACATGTGATGGCGGGTGGGGGGAAAGAGGAGCTCATTCCATAAGGCAAGCCAAAATACTTACGGTGATGGAACAATCTCCTCGGTGCTACAAGGAATTCCACCCTATTTCCAAAAAGAACAAACAAAATTCTCCATTTGCTGCCCACAAATCCACCAAGCATCACCCCTGTGCTTTACAAGAACGTATTTCACTTAGAATTCTACCCATCCCTTTAAAAAAAAAAAAAGCATTTTGTCTGCAAGGCTGAAGAAATGAATTTGAATATGGAACATGAAAGATTTGGCATGAGTTAGTGCTAATGGATCAGTCACACCTGTTCCTTTATTATTTTCCTCACAGAAAAGGATCTTTGAGAGTGAGCTCTGAGGGAGGAACTGGCTATGGTGTGACAAGATTTTGAACAGTAGCCATTCTGACAAAACCCCACAGGATTCCCAGCCTCAGCAGTAATGACTCACTTGCGATAAATAATCCTTTATTTCAAAAGTTTCCGAGTTTGTACACAACACTTTTTCAGATTTGTAGCAATAACATATAACCATTAAACAGCAAGTACCCATTTACATTTTATCCAGAAGACACAGCAAGGAATTTTTTACAAAGGGAAAAGAAAGGAAAATTAGCTTACATATATATATTTGGGTTTCTACAGAAAAAACCCACCTCATAGGCTTGGCTATGGCTTCGTAGCTCAGATTAGCATCATATTTTGCCTCAGATCCAAGGCAGAGGTCATCTTGCTATATTTCCCAAAGTCTGAGATGTCTTCCCCTTGAATAAAATAATAATAAAAAAAATGCCCAATATATTTCCTAAGTCTTGGACTCAAGCTGCCTTGGATTCTAAGGAGGTCCAAGTACCTCCAAGGAAGAGATTTTTGCCTCTGCCTTGCATCTCATCCAAGGCAAAGGCACAGCCCTAATAAAACACTGGTGTTAGTTAATTACATTTTACATCTTGTCCACAGTCAACACTTCACATTTTAAAAATGTATGGTGGATTGGTGTGTGGCCACTGTAAAACACTTCCCATACGATTTGTGAGTAGGGGCTTGTGTTTGAAAAGAACTGAAGATAGCAACTGTATGAAAAGCAGGCTTTGCTGTTCCTGCAAACAAAATTCATAATACTTATAATATACAGCTTTTTAAGGTTTAAGAATTTATAAAGCCTCACAAAACAAGCAGCGGGGGAATCTTCTCCCAAGTTGCAAAGTTTTCACCAGGTAGTGACGGGATTGGCTTTATATTTCCTGTAATCATCCATGCAGAAAAATGCGAGCTCCGTTTCATTTGCTGAAAGGAAAAATATTGAGCGTGTTTGGTGAAAACATTAATTTTCAAGCCACAGAACGTTAGATTAACATTAATTAGAATCACAGATGGTGCTGAATACTCTATGGTTCAAGGCTATTGCTAGTTATTCGCTTGTTTGTTTTTACATCAGATCCAAATAGCAAGAATGCGCTTAGTACACCCCACCCCACCCCCAAAAGCATACTACAGCCGGGGCAAGAACAGCACCCTTGTTAAAAGGCACCATTTTAAAACAAGGGCTATGGAACCATTTGCAGAGCATTCCATAAATAAATCCAGTGCTTCTCTTCAGAATACATGGGAAAATAACCAAGTTCCTCATTCTGTTCTGCAGGAGGGGGGATATCCCCCTGAAATTAACCTGTAGCCATAATAATTTAATACTTAGAGGATCAGTAGAATATTTTACAGATCACTTTACATTCTCCCTCATGACCCATAAAAAAAGTGCGTCTGAGGGAGCTAATTTTTTTGCCCTGCCGATGATTAATTCATGAGGCTTCAACAATATGCAAAGTGAAAGACACAAATTGGCTTCTCCAGCAATACCTTCAAATGCCTCTAATTATCCACAGGGGATATGGCAGAGCTGAAGGACCCGCAAAGGTTCAGAGCAGCCACAATTCTTCCCACCAGCGGGTCAAGGACTTCCTCTTCTAAAACAGTAAGTCAGCAACATTACTAATTCAGAGCGGGGGATGGAGATGACGGAAAGCCATCACAATTAAGAGACATCAGATTCTTTTGAAGTGGCGAGCCACGACTAAGTTCCACCGGTTTTATTTTTTTTTTATAAACTAAACCAGAAGTTAATGAAGTCTGCCTGTGTAATGCAAAACAGGAGCGAGGGACGGCAACTCTGAATATTGGCTAGGATGCCTGCGGAAACTGGGGGCAAGGGAAAGTGAGGAAGATACAGCAGCAGTTCCCAAACTTTTTTGCCCTCCCCCCTGGACCTCTTAAAAATGATTGAGGGTCTTGGTGGGTCACTTAATCATATTTTTTTCTTCCTGTTTTCACAATTGTGATGTGCTGTGCTATGATTCTTAATTGTATTTCTATTGCTTCTTTTATTTCTTATATGGTGTTTTATTGAATGCCATAAAATTCTACAGCATTCAAATTCTAAATGTTCCTCACAGGCCCGCTGCAAACCACCTGAATGAAGCTCGCGGACCACAGTTTGGGAACCTCTGTCATTCAATATACAGTGGCACCTTGGGTTAAGAATTTAATTCGTTCTGGAGGTCCGTTCTTAACCTGAAACTGTTCTTAACCTCAAGTACCACTTTAGCTAATGGGGCCTCCCGCTGCCACCGCACGATTTCTGTTCTCATCCTGAAGCAAAGTTCTTAACCCGAGGTACTATTTCAGGGTTAGCGGAGTCTGTAACCTGAAGCATCTGTAACCTGAAGTGTCTGTAACCCGAGGTACCACTGTACTTGCAAAACAAAAGGGAGATGGTGGGATGCTGCCTTAAGTCAAGGCGGACCACTGGTCCATTTAGCTCAGTATTGTCAGTAGCAGCTCTCGCAAGGTTTCTGGCAGAGCTTCTTCACATGCTGGGGATTGAATCTTCTGCAAGCCACCCTGAGACCTCTGGGGATAGGGCAGAATATAAATTAAATAAATAAATAAAATAAATCTTCAGCCTTCTGCATGCAAAGCAGATGCTCTACTGAGTTCCAGCCCTTCCCCAGTTAAACCTTATTTATCAGACAATTGTTGCCAATTAAAAAAAAGTTAATTCTCCCAAGCACTTCCAGTTATAGGGCCTGTTTATACAGGGTGAGTCCTTTAAAAGAGGCCCCATGGATACAGAGTACACTTGTTCAACAGGGCCTCTTTTAAAAGACTCAACCTGCATATAACATTTCACTCCTGGGTTTATAACCTGGGAGAAATAAGCAGCAAGCTTCAGGTTCACACACTGACCCCCACTGTCCACTCCCTCAGGAACCACATTTCTTTGAATGCAGGATCTTTCTGGTTTAGTTACTAGAGCCTCCTTGTGACAAGGAGATTGTCGTCTTCCAAAGCAACTACTCTACTCTGAACTTAAAAATGGTAAGCGCAATGCCAGTGCTGAACTAAAGAGGTTCAAAGACTCTCTCAAGGCAAATCTTTTAAAATGTAGTAGAAACACCAAAAACTGGGAAACACTGGCCTGCGAGCACTCCAATTGGAGAACAGCCTTTACCAAAGGTGTCATGGGTTTTGAAGATGCTCAAACGCAGAACAAAAGGAAGAAATGTGCTAAGAGGAAGGCACGCTTGACAAACCCTCACCATGATCAACTCCCGCCCGGAAACCTATGTCCCTGCTGTGGAAGGATATGTGGATCCAGAACTGGCCTCCAGTCATTTATGGACTCACTGTTAAAACTATGTTTATGGAAGACAATCTTACTTGGCTATGAGTGATCGCCAAAGAAGAAGCAGCAGCAGCAGCACAGGTTGAGAAGTGGGTAACTTGTGGCACTCCTGATGCTGCAGCCCCGGTTTCTGGCCAAGCATGTTGGGCTTTTAGGAGTTGGGAGTCCAACAGCAGCTGGAAGGCTGCAAGTTTCTGCACCCCTGCCATAAAGGAAGGATGCATTTCCCAACTTCAGAAATTAGAGAACCCAAAGGTCCATATCCCCTCCTCTGTATCTTCTTGGGCTCCATCCCTAGCCAAACCAAAATAGTAAAAAGGGGCAGTGATGACAGCCCTCTGTATCTGACTCAATTCAATCAGAGAGTCTTTTTAAAAGCACCCAAGTCTCTTAGCTTTTCAATTTCATTGTTCAATTTGATTGTTCAATTCAAATTCAGTTCACTAAGTGTTTCACCAGCTGAGAACCCCATTCTGGGGGAGGATTGAACATAATTCTTCCACTTCATGAAGCAAAATTTCTAAGGTCCAAATATTCAGGCAAAAGGTATACAGCTTCCTTTAATGCCTGCCTCCTACATCTCCACCATGAGAAGACTGGCCTAAGAAAGCCAATCTCACAAGACAACAAAAAAGGATTTAGGTCAGGCAACCCCCAAACTCGGCCCTCCAGATGTTTGGGGACTACAATTCCCATCATCCCTGACCACTGGTCCTGTTAGCTAGGGATGATGGGAGTTGTAGTCTCAAAACATCTGGAGGGCCGTGTTTGGGGGTGTCTGATTTAGGTTCTTACAGGACTCATCTGTTCCAGGGCTTTCGTTGACAGTATACCTACATAGCAGCTGCCCATGTTTCTGGTTCAGTGCAGATGATAAGAATTCTGGAGCTTTCCCCCCCGCCCCATGGAAACTTTTCCATTTCCATAAGTTCATTAGCAACAATGAATGGATGCCAATTGCAAATACGGGAACTGGCAGCTTCAAAGTGGTTGGATTTGCTTACAAAATCCAAGTAGCATCAGCATGTGAAGTCAGGTCGCTCTCTAGGGCGCCATAACATTTTCCAATGATAATTACCCTTTACAAATTAGCCGAATATGCAAATTAGCCTAAATGAGCCAATTCAAACATTTCTGGAAAGCCCACATCCCTATTACTCTGTTTATAACCACAGTCATTCCCTCCATTCCTGATGTTTACACTGTGAGTGCCATTGCTTATGTAGCTACCGTCAGAGGGCAAGAAAGGGGTGGGAGTAGGGGGACTGAAAAGTTTGAAGACTGTGCAAAAAGATTTAGGAAGGGAGAGAGAAGCCCTAAGGGGGATAAGAGCCCAAAACAATCCAATGAGGGCTGGGTATGCTCAGAGACCATGGAATGCTGACTGTCGGAGAGAGACAGGAAAAACTGGAGAGATGGGATGGAACAGCCACCTCCATGCTGTAACATTTTGCTGCAGATCCCACCGGTGTTCCACTAAACAGCTGCTTTAGAACACTTCCAAGAAGCAAAGGAAATTTTCCCTTACAGCAGCAAAAGCATATTTCTGCTTGGAGAAAGAGGCCAGCCGTGCAGGCTACAGCGTATCACTGTCTCGTAATGAAGCTCCCCTATAGGTGCAGAGCTTTTAACAACACTGCATCAGCTTTCCAGTCAGGTGCCCTCCTGCTGTTTTGCACTACAACTCCCATGAGCCCCCACCAGCAAGAGCTAAGCATGATGGAGAGTTATAGTGCCAAACATCTGGAAATACCAGGTTTTCACCAAAATTAATTGAATGCAGAAATGCCCTAGCACACCTTACTGATTTAATATTTAAAATCTCTTCATCAAGTAATACATTTGATTGCTGAATATGTAAACAAGTGTATAGAGACAAGGGATAAAACAAGCACCATTAGCTGTACTGTGGGATAAGTGTTTAATGGTTATTGTATTTGTACTTGTTTAAAAACCAGTAAAATTTTGTTTTAAAATACATATATTTAAAATCTCAGCAGTTAACTGGGAAGCTTGCTGGTCCAGTAAACAAAAGACCAGAACCTGTTTGTTGTGGGGGAGGAAGGGAAAGGAGAATGTTAGCCGCTTTGAGACTCCTTAAAGGGAGTGAAAGGCGGGATATCAAATCCAAACTCTTCTTCTTCTTCTTCTTCCTCTTGTGCTAGCAGTAAGCCTGAGTAGTTTGACTACCTCACAGGCCAGCCAGAGTATCAACCCAAAAGCTTACTTTTCTTTTTCGTATAACGTGAATCGAATGAGATGTGATCGCTACCTGCTCAACGAATGTTTCAGAAGTTCAGCTGGAGCAAAAGTTTACACCCACCCAGCGGACACCTGGTTTGCCACACAACACTGTTATCTTGCATTTATCACTGAATGACATGGCCTATGGCACTTCCCAATTGGGTAGCAAGCAAGTGTGTTCCAATATGCCCTTTTTATACTTGTATTCCCTCTCAAGTGATCTTGGTGACTCTCCAGAACTGCACATTATTGAACAGGCTCTCCTCATTACTCCTCACTAGTTACACTGCTTAAATTTCCAACCGAAGCATCAGTGTAAACGTCACTGAAAAGATGAGGCAGGCACGGTACGAATAACCAAGCTGTCAGTCATTTAAAATTACCCTCAACAGAATTCCAAGCATAACCTTTTTATTTTGCGGTGGGGGTGGGACGACAGAGGGAATACCCCCATTAGCATTCTGAAGAGAGGTACATGTGGCCCTCGAACCCAATGATTTGAATGTACGTTAAGCACACATACACTGGTCCTCAATAATAGTCAGGTTGCGTACGGAACATCAGGTTTAGCATTTGCTTTTCAGCAGGCTATCCAAACATAATCAGCCAGGATAATGACAAGCACAACGAACGAAGGCCTCAGTCAATCCCAGCCCACTACCAACCTACACCAGCGGCTTTCAGGGTGCTGTCCTCTGCCAAAATGAGTTTGTCATCATCTTCTAAACTCACGACGAGTTCATTGGTCTAGAAATGGAGGGGGAGGAGGGGATGAAAATAAATACGGAGTAGTCAAATAACACCTTCCAGCATGAACAAATTAAATTTAGAGAGATTTAGGAGGGGAGTGAGCAGTCATAAGATGTACCTTAGAGCCATGCGCCTGGTGAAGAATCTTCATTGTATCTGAAAGAGATTGCTTGCTTTGAGATAGGTTTTTTGTTTCTTCTACTGGGCATTTAGCTATAATGCTCCATCTAAGGTCTTGTGCATCACACCATACATTCTTCCCGCACATTTGTTACCTTGCAATATTTTTCTTCTTATTTTGCTTCTCTCAACTAGAATTGGACAGGCAGTACAACATCATCACAATCCTAGAAAATCCCTCCGAATTCAACGGAGACTTGTACTTTACAAGCTCAAAAATACTAACGGAATCAGCTGTAGAAGGTTTATATACTTAGAAACATGCAATCTAATCTCACATCCATTAAGCCCTGAACACAAACGCCGAGCAGAATCCTTAAGACTACTCAAAAATACAAATAAATTAAAAACTCAGTTTTGACAGTATAGGCTGCAGAATTCAAGCCACAAAATGAATCTGAATTTCCAATCGCAGTTTTGATTAGTAGTTATATGGTTTAAAAGTAAAAACTCACGCACACACAGAAAGCAGGTCCTTTTTTAAACTGTTAATCAGAATTCCAATAAAATAAAAAGTTGTGTGATACGAGATCATCTTTCTTCCTGATATACAGTTTCCCAATCCAGATTGGAGGCAACCTCAGAATGCATCCCTACTTGATAAACCTCTACTTGCAACAAACATGCTGAATTGTGCATGAAATATAAAAGCTGGTGGTGTTGGCTAAGGACACTCACTGAGGACCTTTTATACCAAACACAGAGAGGCCACATTACAACTGACTTTTTCTTTATCTTTGCAAAGTAAGTGGCAATCACCTATTTAAAGTAATCTCAGTAAAAATATGAAACAACCACCATGTCTTGCAATTGCTATACTGTTGCTGAACGTCCAGCCTACCTATCAGTGTTTTCAGGAAAGTCATACCCTCAAGCTATTAGCAGCATTTTATTTTAAAGTAGGTGTGCTTCAAATGGCTGCTTTTTTCTGATAATTGCACTCTGGTTTCTTATTATCAATACCTGCTGCTTTTGTAACCATTATTATGTTATGCATTAGCAAAGCAAGGCAAAAGGCAAATGTTCACAACCAAAAAACCACCCATCCATTAGCTAAGCTGCTGTTTTCTTGCCGACAGTTAGTGAAGAACTATAATGGATTGGGTGGGAGAGGGCGAAACCTGTCAGTTTCGCTTCTCATTTTCTTTTTTTTCAATCTTAAACTCAGTTCTCCAAGATGCTGCAGCAGTTTGCAATTTTTTCATAAAAATTAAGTGCTATGATCATTAAAATTTAGTGCTATTGTTTCATTAAAATTTTAATGCTATTTTCTGGTACTGTATGTTTTGCATGCTGTTTTCACTAATATATTCATTTTTATACACATTTCCCCAGCTATGTGCATGTTTGTAAACACTGGTTAGAGAACTTTGTTTCAGAAAATGCAAATTTGATACATTCAGCATTAAAGGCAAACTGAATTCAGTTTCTCCCCCTATCCCAAGACAGGGCTGAACTGCAAAGCACTGCAACTAGTAACCACTACAAATGTCCCCTGTAACTCCTGAGCCAAGCCTAGATCTTGACAACAAGCAAGAGAAACCTGCTGTTTAATTGTTGCTCCCTGAAAGTTTTCAAAATGTCAGATTCCGAGCTAGATATATTATATAAACTATATTGCCAAATCAAATATATTTGATTTTGCAGCCCAAATCCTGTTTGTTTTCAATGATTAATAAAATACTTTGCTTTAATTTTATATCCGTTTCACAAATTCATACTTAAGCTCTTTCCTGTTTACCTCCAGCCTCATTCCCACTCTCTTCTTATTTACTATGTAAATTCTTTCCGCACGTAAGCCTCTCATTCCATGCTTCTTGCTCCTGCTGGGCTACCCCTTCTGACCTCACAATTAGTTGCTGGATATTGAAATGCAGAAGCACGGAGGAAACTGCAGTTTCAAAGGATTGTGGGTCATGAGCAGCACTTCAACATGTGAGGCGAGTTTAAAAGGCACTTAAGGAAGATGATAAAAAAATTAATACCCAAAAGACAATGCTGCCAATTAACACCAGCATGAATAATCTGCAGGCTAATACTGAAATGAATTCCAAGATGTACAACTGTTTAATTATTCCATGAGGTAAAGCTTAACCTGTCATGGAACCAAAACTCCCAATTATTTTCCAGCCCAACCTCTACATCCAGCTTCCCCTCACAAAAAACCACAATGGGTATCTAATTAGGTTCCCTCCAGATGTTGTTGAACTACATCTTCCATCATCCCTCACCAAGCTAGCTAAGGCTCATGGGAGTTGTAGTCCAACAACATCCAGAGGGCATCACAGGCTAACCCCGATGCAGATAAACCAATTTTAATGGAAGTGCAAGGAAAGATACATACCGTATCTATATTTTTTAAAAGGAGGTGGAAGTCCTGTCCTTAATACCACATCTAGAAAAAAAAAAGTTGAAAAGGAACATTAACCATTTTCACTTGGATTTAAGAAGATAAACACAATGGGTAAAATTCACCACTGCACTCTTCCAATTGTTCCATCTGTACAAACATTTCAGCTTCCCAGTTGGAGCAACCCCCCTCCTTCCCCTGCACACTCTTTTGAGGGTTCTCCCAAGCCCCCCAGAGCCAGTTTGGGGGGGCATGGGGAAAAGATGGGGGAAGCCCCATTTCACAAGCAGAAGTTCTTGCCCTGGGCTTCTGCTTTAAGTGAATCCTGCCCACAGTTATTATCTGTTCTTAGAACCAGCAGCACAATCCTATGCATGTCTACTCAAAAATATGTTCATCTGCGTCCAATGGAGCTTACTCCCAAGTAAGTGCTCCTGCAGTCCAAGTCATACAAATCAATGGAATCCAAGTTCCAAAAAAAAACATGGAAAAGGCTTATAGGGGCACATTAAGTGTACCAAAGGATGTTTGAAATTACAGGTTAAAATCATGCACAATACATCCCAGTATCTGTGAACAGTCATCATAATACCATGAATTCCATCCACACTATTACAGTGGTACCTCGGGTTAAGTACTTAATTTGTTCCGGAGGTCCGTTCTTAACCTGAAACTGTTCTTAACCTGAAGCACCACTTTAGCTAATGGGGCCTCCTGCTGCCGCTGCACCACAGGAGCACAATTTCTGTTCTCATCCTGAAGCAAAGTTCTTAACCCAAGGTACTATTTCTGGGTTAGTGGAGTCTGTAACCTGAAGCGTATGTAACCTGAAGAATATGTAACCCGAAGCACCACTGTAGATCCATAACTGCAGGAAGCCTTATATGTGACATGTCTCTGAGAAGCTGAGGGTCCTCTGAAGGATGAGCAATAGAATGGAACCTACGGATGCCTAGAGCGTTGTTCATCCAGGCGATGACATAGTAAAAACATAGGAAGTTGCCTTATACCAAATCAGACCATTGGGTTCATCTATCCTAGTATCATGAACACTGATTGGCTTTCTAGGGGTTCAGGAAGGAGCTTTTCCCAGCACTACCTAGAGATGCCAGGGATTGAACTTGGTACCTTTTGCATGCAAAGCACTAGACTACAGCTCTTCCCTGGGGCCTATCAGCATGGGACAGTTTCCCCCCCACTCCCCCCCCCCGCCACATGTTCCTTGGCACACCAAGAAGCACTAGCCAGCCGTAACAGTTTCTTACCATTCTTCACAAATTCAATAAACTCTCCGACAGTCTGATCCAGAGTAACATCATGGTACACAACAGGTTTAAAATTACGGTGCTCAAAGGAGCGAACTAGACGAACAGTGACAGTAATGTCTTCCGATGACATGTGAGTTATCTAACAAGCACCTGGAAGGCAAAAATGTAAAGCAACATAATGAAGGAGCTTGCTTTTGGAAAAAACAAGAGCATAAGGTCCTAGCATTGGGTACAATCAATGTTTCAGTAGCAAAAAACTTCAAGTTCTTTTGTTTATTTGTTTAAGATGTATTCCAGCGTTATACATAAAAGAATTGTACCCAAAATACATATTGATATCTAACCAGAACTTTTTATTTATATATATACACACACACACACACACACACACACACACACACACAGAGCAGCCCCTAGGGCCTAACAATTGGCAGGGTTGTAGTAGACAGCAAAGGGGCATTTAACCCATCCCTGCCCTGTGGAATTCTGTATCATTCTTTTGAATCTAGCATTTGCACTGGAAGGATTCCCCTCCGGCACCAATTGAGGATTCTACTCACTTTCAAGTGAACAAAATTTATACACCGCTTGACTGCAATAAAACCTCTAAGCAGTTGACAATAAGTAACCTATTGAAACAAATCTAAAATGGTGACTTGCAGGTGCTATTGTGTGAATAATATTTATTAAATTTCTATACTGCCCTCCATCCTGAGAGGAGGTTTACAATATAAAACACAAAAATACATAGCATAATAACAAACAAACAAAAAAATACCCCTGCTGTTCAAAAGGCCAGATTGTTTAATCAGTGATGTAGCAAAGTTTTAACAATGTTCATTCTTGTGCCACTTCCAGTTTGTTATAATACGGTTTGTACTTGTAAACTGATGTCTTGTTTACTTGCTGTACCTTATTTGCTAGAATATACTATTTTGTCATTTTAACCATTTAAGTAAAAGGGTGTTTAAGAATCACATCGGTTGCCTCACCCACTTTTGGTCTGGCACGTTCAGAGCATCATGCAAGCTACACCAAAACCAGACGGTGGCATAAATAATGTTTAGTAAAAGTCAAGCAGCGCTGTGTCTAACTAGTTTTTAGCACCATGAACTGTACATTTGCTCATAATGCACAAATACAAACGCTGTACTCTCCCAGATACTATTTTTCGCTACACACAATGTACCAGGGCACTGGGGTCAGAGCCACCCAACCCACATCTCCCTGAGTCTCACTCCAAACTATTTTATTTTATGTCTCTTGCTCTTGCAGGGACGAAGCCCCGCCACTTAGCTCACAGCCTAGGGTGGTGAGATCACCTTATGGCGGGCGCCAATATATAAATAATTGCGTCAATCCTTTGCAAAACCACTATTGCGACCAACCAAAGTGTCAAACAGAACGTGGAGCAATTCTGCGCTTGACACCATTCTCATGTCAGGCTAGGAAATGTCATTCTTGCTGCTACTGGGAATCCCCAGACCAACTCGCACGACGAATCCCGCTCTCCTCATGCTCCCCGCACTTTGCCTCACCGGCGCTCCAGGCAAACGCCTTCCCTCCAAACACGTGGCCCAATCTCAAGCAGAGGACTTCCACTTCCTGGTACTTAGACGCCGCGTTTCCCCGGCAGCCTCCAGACCCAGCCTCGCCTCCTCTGCAAACGCCTTCCACGAACTCGCCAACGATTGGCTGTCGCGAGCACATTTCTCCCGCCCTACTGGCGGAGTTGCGTCGCCCACTGGTCCTTTTATCCTTAGGTACGCCCATCGCTGTATAATTGACGGCAACTTCGCCCATAGAGAGAGCAAAACCCATGGCCGGTTAACACTATATGGGAAATATAGAGATATGGGACCTTATAGAAAGCTTAACCTGCAATCTTATATACATACACGTTCTTGAAACTCAAAGAGGTTTACATACGTGTTTCATGTTCTCTGCTTTATTTGGGATTTGCACTGTACAGCGGAATCTGTTGGGAGCTGCCCGGAGTTGCTAGGGAAACCCAGCCAGATGAGCGGGGTATATTATTATTATTATTATTATTCACGTTTACATTCGCGTGAAAAGTGTAATCAGAATTTTAAAATGTATTAAAATTGCTTTGCGGTACAGTCCATTCTCCCCATTGTTGCAGGTTGGGGAGTAGGCTGTGGCCAATAGTGACTTATGACAACCCTGCAGTGTAGCCCACTGTTAATACTGCAAAACGCTCCTTCCGTCGCAGCAAATATTTAATGCGCTGAAGTTGCCTTGAGACACCCACTTCCAACCCAAATCAACCGCTCAGTTTCATATTAAAATAGCATGATTTACGGTCTACGGAGACGGGAACAATCTTCTCCTTTGGCGAGGTGGGGTCTAGGGCTTGAAGCTGCGCGTTCGGCATTCCCCTTCGACTGCAGGCGCTTCTCTTTTCGGGCGGGCGCCCCCTCGCCTAATTACGCTTATTATCCAGAGGCCGCCGTCATTAACGTTGATATACTTCCGGTTGTCGACTAGTCTGTTGACTCCATGTGCGGGTCAAGAATGGGGGAAGCCGCGCATTGATAGAAATCATGACATTTTCTCAGCATAGTCTGCATCTATCAATTAGGGCAATTTCCATCATTTGAAATTGCTAATCAAGAGTTCTTACCCCATATAAGAATCTTTTGCTTAAGAACATAAAAAAAGAAACCCCGGCTTGCAAAGTCCACCTATCGTAGCATTACCTCTGCAAACGAAAAAACAAGCCAGCAGGCGCTGGACGGTCCACTAATAATCGCGGCTGCCTGCTTTTTAAAGTTCGAATTAAGCTCAGGATGGATGCACGCGCGCGACTTCCGAAAGTCCTTATGTGCAGCCCGCAGCTTCCTCGATAGACGTCATCGTTGTTGTTGCTTTCCCCCCATCCCCCCAAAATACTTGCTTACTTTAACCTTAATATGAATCCTTATGTATTTTTATCAGCTTTTGTCATGGGCGTAGCCAAAGGAGGGGCAGCTGCCCCCTGCCCAGATCAAGTAAAACAATAGGAATGCCTACTTAATTGGCCGATCACGTCGGTTCTTTCGCCCTTAACAAAAGTCCTGCCCTTCCCTAACAAAAATACAGTATTGGCTACGCCCATGGGCCTTTGCCTCACTCGCGAAGAGGGTCTTCAAAACAACGTAAGGAACCAGGGCAGTGGGCTAGTCTTGCATTTTGGTTATGCGTACATCTGTGGCCACCATTGGAATCAGGCGTTGCCTTTCGCCCGTCAGTCCCAGCCGCTTGCCGAATCGTGGTGGGAACAAAGGCCGGCGAGTGCCCGCCCCCTCTCTTCTGATTGGCCGCGCGAGCTGGGCTGATTCGTGAAATAGAGACTTTGGGGCAAGAAGCTGCAACGGGCGCAGTTCAGCCTTTTGTTGCATCGGGAAGAGGTCGCTGCGTGCTTCTGCAACCATGACACAGGTAAGCTCCCTCCCCTTCCCTAACGAAAGGGCGCTCTTCCAAGACGACACCCCCCCCCTTTGCAGGCGCGGCAAGTCTGCTTCTCTTTCGCTAGGCTTTTCTCAGTGTCGGTTTCGCTTCTTTTTGCAGCAGTCGGCGGAAGGGTGTTGAGGTCTTGTTCCTGCTTTCTTTCTAGTTGGAAGTGTGTCTTCCACACTTCTCCCTCTGGCCGCTGCCTAATAAGTTTCTGTTTTATGTTGCTCCTGCAAGCACCCACACAACCCCCATCTCGCAATATAGGCGGCCCGGAATGAGGTGGGGGCGGGGTGTCTCTTTCTTTCCTCGTCGGGGAGGAGGAGGAGAAATGAAGCGCCCTTGTTCTCCCACGCGCTTGTGCCTTGGTAGGCAGTGCTAAGTTCACCAGGGGCTTATTCCTCTGCAAAGTTGCGGCCAACTCTTAAAAGTAGGTCGCTACTTCTGAAATAATAGCCAGTGATCGTTATAAAACTACAAATGTGAAGCGTGTACTAGCCAAGTAAATTATTAGAAATTCTTCCAAAGCTGTTACTTTGTATCTTCAGTCATGGTGGTTGAAACTTTTCAGAAGCCAGACTTTCAAGATTTTGCTCAGTGGACCTGCAGTCCTTATGCATAATAGCTTGAAGCTGAGTTCTTGTTGTTTAGAATTGCTAATCCTGTACAGGCAGCCTTTTCTTCTCTTTCTCTCTTCCCCCCCCCCGCCCCCAATCTGGAACAGGCACTTTTGCCTAACTGATCTAGTGGTTGAAGGATAGGTGATAAAACCTCAGTTTTTTATGGTATGTGAGGCTCTTGTGTGAAAGGATTCCTTAGCATGCTGACTGTGGATGCAACAAGAGAATTTACAAAGTTGGGCCTGGGAAAAAGCATGGAAATGCAGCTGGAGATAATGGCCCCTTGTGGCTTCCGCTGCCAAGTGCATGAGCAGCTTGCTCAAGGTATCTGGCAGCACTTGGTGGCGTGTGCAGTGTCTTCGTGAAAGTGGCTTGCAGGAACTTGAACTTGAAAAGAAATTGGGCAACATCGGAGGCAGCCCCCGTAAGTCGTGCTGGAACAGCTTTTCTGCCAAGTGTTAGTAAAGCAACTCATTTTGCAACCTTCCACCCTCAGGATAATTATCAAGCTTCAAATCTCCACACTGTTTGCCCAACTAAATTCCCACACCTTGAATCTTATGCATGCTTGTCTGGGAGTAAGTCCAACTAACCTGGTGGGACTTATTTCAAAGTAAACATGTAAAGGACTGTACCACAGTTCATGAAGCTCTAAAAAGTTTGGTGCTAAAATTTATTCTGATTTAGAAGAATTATGTTTGCCTACATTAAGTGTACTGAACAGCAGTAAATCCCTTAATTTGAATCCTTATTCGAAATAGGCAGAGTTTGAAAAAGCTGCAGAAGAAGTCAAGAAGCTGAAGACCCAACCAACAGATCAAGAAATGCTGGCTATCTACAGCCATTACAAGCAAGCCACAGTTGGAGATGTAAATACAGGTATGAGTTAATTTCACACCACATTCAAATCCATGCTTAGGGATTGCTCATTGAGCAATTCTTCCATCCTAATCTGTTGAGTTATTTCATTGAAAATTATAAACTACTATATACTGAAATGTAACGTATCTCACACCAGATAGGTAAAGATCCTATATGCTGTGAGTCCAAATGAGTTAAATCTGAGTATATTAAATAAGTTAAGTTAAATCTGAGTATATTAACTGCATGTAACACTTGATAGTAAATGTGCTCCCTCAGTACAGAATAAATGCCCAGGGCAGCCTTTCAATGAGATCAACTTGCCTTTCATTTCAGACTTGCTCATTTGCTTGAAAGCAACTTGCAATAGCAAGCAATTTAAGGTAAAGGTAAAGGTACCCCTGCCCGTATGGGCCAGTCTTGACAGACTCTAGGGTTGTGCGCCCATCTCACTCAAGAGGCCGGGGGCCAGCGCTGTCCGGAGACACTTCCGGGTCACGTGGCCAGCGTGACAAAGCTGCATCTGGCGAGCCAGAGCCGCACACGGAAATGCCGTTTACCTTCCCGCTAGTAAGCGGTTCCTATTTATCTACTTGCACCCGGGTGTGCTTTCAAACTGCTAGGTTGGCAGGCGCTGGGACCAAACAACGGGAGCGCACCCCGCCGCGGGGATTCGAACCGCCGACCTTTCGATCGGCAAGCCCTAGGCACTGAGGCTTTTACCCACAGCGCCACCCACATCCCTAGCAAGCAATTTACTTAGCTGCTTATGACCTGTTTCAAAATCTGCTTCATACCATAAATAGTTAAAAGCATCAGTTGCTACTGCTTGCATACATAGCATGGAGCTACAGCAAGTCCTGCGATGTGCATAGATTTCATACAACAGCACATAAATAAGTGGATTAAAAAGTAATATTGCAGCAATCATAACTATAGTTTCAGGTACATCATTTCACATCAAGTCTCCCTATTGAAGTGACCATCACTGGTAACTTCTGCTACAGCAGCTCTTTTGAAATATGTAATAGCTCGCATACTTCAAGGAGTGTAGCCAGATTTAGCTGGTTATTATGAAGGAGTAGAAACTTCAAGTGGGATGTAACTTGCAGTAGTGCCTGCAGAATTGTTCTACATTTCAAAGGCCTAGTCAGGACGAGTTGTCCGATCCTTGCAGAGATTCCATGTTCTAAGTGAAGCAATTTACCCAATCCAGTAGTTCAGGGCATTGCTTAACTTATTGGTGTCCTAGTATAACTGACTCTCAAGAGCTTTGGGCTAGGAGCACTTGCAGCTCTGAAAGATACTTGCGACAAAGCTTGCTCTGATTTGCACACAACTCAAAACAAAATGCCTTTTCTGTGAGGGTCCTTGGCATAGAACTCGTGAAACTGCTGCATGTGAGAATGGCAACTATAAACTCTGTTCCAGTGGAACGTGCTATGAGTTGGAGCGACTGCCTTTAGAAGCTACAACCAGATCCTCTTTACCCCTCTCCACAACCCTTGTTCAGTATTGCAGTACAACAGTTAAGCAGGATATGAATGTGTCTGCTGCTTTGGATGTGTTGCCATGTTGGCACTCCAAGTATCCTATTGGACGAGTGTTCAGAAAGTGAATTCCAAAAGGATAGGTTGGGCCACTTTTAGTTGGCTGGAGCTGAGATAGCAGACTATTGCACAGCTAGACTAGGGTTCGCATAACAGCCTAGTATTACGCTTGGGTTTCATCTTTCAAGAGGAAGGTGAAACTATCAGATTTGCTAGTCGAGGACAGAAGCACCCATTTGGTATCTTACAACTAAAAGCACACCTGCAGAGTCTGCACACTGCACTGGATAGCACTGTTAGAGGCCAGGGCAGGGGGGGGGTTAATATTTAGATATCCTTTGCAGGAGTATCAATAAGTAGCTGAAGTCAGGTTGGGGTGTGCTACAAGCAACTATTCGGAAGAGCCCTAAAGATGCTTGGGAAGTTAAAGCCCTTGTATGTCTGCTTCCTTTAACTTTGGTTTTGTTTAAACATTGGTGTGAGAGCGTCATGCAAACACAACTTTTGTACTGATCACAAGAATGACTAGTTGCTCTTGGAGGCCATTCTTGTTGCCACAGCTGGTACCCTGATCTACCAACCTACTTGGTGGTTCAGCCTATTGGGTAACTTCAAATGCAGGGAAGTTAGCTGAAAAGGGAGTCCAGTTTCAGTACGTAAAACTGGATGGAAAGTCTAGGCATAATTCTTCTGTTTCTGTAGCTTGTGTGTGTTTTGGAGGATGTGGAGGGGAGAGAGGCTTGGTAGATGAATAAAGGATAGCATACTGGTTCTTGATAATGGGACCAACCAGAAGACTGACATGAGTGCCCCTGTTTTATTTTGCAACAGTGTGGTTACTGATGGACATGCTGCAGGAGGGGGATCTGAAACTCTTGGCTAATTGCCTCCGCTTCCAGTGCCAGCAGTGCAAGGGTCAGGCAGTAGCTTAGCTTCCCTCTGGGATGACAGTGCCAACTAGAGCTAAAGGTCACCCAGTACCTTGCAAGCAGCTGGTTTTCATGAATAGCCCCATTGCCAATCCTGGGGTAAAAATGACAGTGCTGTGTTTGCATGCAATTCATTCTGAAATGCTAATCATAGAACTTGAGCACAATACATTTGTTTATGTATGCCCCACCCCTCTCCAGCCACTCCTAAAGCACAGGCATGGAAAGTAGGTCAAAAGGCAATATTTGACCATCCTGGGCCTTCAGGCAAGTCCTTCTGAAAGAGCAGTCAAATATGGACAAACCTACTAGACCAAATGCTAGTGTTCAGTAGATTGCCAAGGAAAGAAAGGGTGCTCTGGTACAGTAGCCACTACACTAGGCCAAGGCACAAATGGTTAACTGGAAGCCAGATGAGAAGTTGCTGGCTCAGAGTTCATTCGATCCTTTGGAGGATGCTGTCTTCTTTTCATACAGGGTGGCTGTATAAGGATTACTGGAAATACAGTATATGTGAACTTATTCAGATGCCTGATGTTCACTATATAAATGCAAAATAACATGGTACGATGGAGATTGTGATCAGTTACCAAAAAACCAGAATCGGTTGGAACCAAAAGGAAGAGGCCGTCTGTTCCAGGTGAACATTTCCACAGTGGAATCTGCCCCTGTATCTCTGTGTACCATAGAGTGGCTA